ATTCATTTACTATTGCCTTTTGTCGTGTCTTCATATAGGCGTGATTGTGATATTGTCTTGTATTTAATTCGACGGATCGAATTAAAGTTTATCGTTTAAGTTTACAGATACCAAGCCAACAGTGTTCGGCATAGATGACATTTTTATTTCGTAAATTTACACTTAAAAATTCGCGTTAGAAGCAAGAAATTTCACTCAACGAAAAAAATAAAGTCTAATTTACAAATTATAGTATCACAATTACGCAATTGTGGGTTTGCAATTTGTACATGTTTGTATATAACTTTCGTGACTGTACTCATTAGTTTGGCCAACCGGACTCAAATTCTATACAATTCTTATTTGTCAAATCTACTCTACTATTTACTTCTACTACTTTCCGACTTACATCAATACATTCCCACTAAGAAATGCCGAAATTAATCTTTTTTTTTACTGCATTTTCTTTTCATTCAACACCTACCATCATCAAAAGCATCATGCATTTGTAAATCAAAAACAAAAGAAAGTTTGAGCTTAAACGAAACTTTCATCTCCCGAATTGTCACAAATCGTTTATCTCAGATTTCCACACGTGGGACATTTGCCAAAGTTTAAAATTTTATTAGGACAATGATCTGAATACATAATTTTTCATTTAATAACTTATATTAAATAATTTGTGAACACGTTTCAATAATACATATTCTTAAATTTCCAAAGTTTCATATGTTTCACTTAAAAGCATTTCTCTGGAATTAAAAGTTTTATAGCATCATACAAACCACTGTTATTTTAATTTTCAGAATACCGTTCCGTTCTCAAACTTCTCTTTTGATCTTATCTCACGTAGACATTTCAAAAATTATTCAATACTTAATTACACTTCAATTATATGTTCTACATGTATCTTTCCTGCTTTTTGTTTCTACGCGCTTTATGTTTGTGTAATTTCTCTTCAAATTTTATTATTTCTATTAAATTTATCAAGATTTTATTTAAAACTTTGTGCAATCTGTACAATAATGAAGCAAAAGCAGATGGTTATTAATTTAATATCAACATGTGATCAAAATAATACGACTTACAATCACGGAATAATATTTTATATACGTAATTCACGAACAAATCAAAAATGTGACATTTCTCAACAAACATTTAAGCGAATATATTGGCCAGGTTCTACTATATAACCACCATGGTAAGATATACAAACAATTAGTGAGTTATAATGAATGTGATAAATCCCTTTGGCTCAATTAATTTATGGGCAATATTTGTTTTATAGTTTTTTTCAAAGAAGTTTTATGAGGTTGCTTTTAATCTTGTACAAATGTTTTTTTTATTCATTGAAAAGAATTTTAAAAAACTTATTAGACAGATAGAAAAGGTTTGGCTAGTTCGTATAATGATGAACGATATCATCATCACTCTAACTATTAATATATTTTAGAACAGATAAAAGATGGCACGTGTGCTTTAAATTATTAAATTAATAACTCTTTTTAATTATTATTAAAATTAGTACTAACTCTTAATACAAATTGTCCATCTTGTTAATATTAAGTTTATTTTTTTTTTATAAACCAGACCAACCTAATTCTATAATAAATAAACGTAAAGCTAATTTTATTAAACGTGGAATGGCGCAAAGTGTTATGGCAGCCATGCTTCAAATAATATTATTTTTTTAAAAAAAAAATAAAATGTATTTATACGAATGTTTAAATTATAAAAATAAATAGAATCAATAAATTTAAACAAACTAATAAACTATTAACTTCAATAAAGTTTTGAAACATACAATATATTGGACAATGATATCACTTATGAGAAGTTAATATAGATGATTCCTTTTTTAATTATTAACTTTAATTATCAACTTCACATTTTATATATATTAAATTTATTGTCCTTGATTTTTTACAGCAAATATTAGCTCTTGATCGCTTTACATTTATATATATCATGATAATTATTTTAAGAGAATTTCCTGAAATTACAACTTAAATCACGTATTTTCAAATCTTTAATTTGCTGAATTTTGAAATGTTGGTAATAATAAAATGCTATATAATATTTTAAATTGTATATTTTGCAGCAATATATAAATTTGTTAACAAATTTCGACAGTATAATGTAATTGATAAATTTAATAAAATATTCAATTAATCGTAAAAAAAAGTCTAATTTTATAATATACAACTATATAATTTAATGATGTAATATTTAAATCAACATGGAGTGAAAATTATTCTTATTAGTTTGTAATTCCGATAACAATGAACTTTATAATCGTGATAAATTCGCACTTCATTCATTATGTTTGCAACTTCATGTAATATCTTGTAATTTTGAATTTTACAATGTTAAAACAAAAAAAAAAATAATTTAATAACAAATAAATAATTGAATTGTCATTTATGGCTCGGCGAATTATGATCACAATTTGAAAGCGGATAAAAAAAAAAAATTTATTTTCTAAAAAAATTAAATTTTTACATTTTATGATAAGCTTTTTTCAGATTCAGTTATTTCTAGCACATTTTTATGACATGACAAAATGCTATTACACTATTTTTTTTTATATTAGCATGTACAGTATTGTATGAATCACGTGTTTAAATTTTCTATAAAGAATTTTCAAAAAACTGTTACAAGCAGATTATGAGATTCATATAAACTATTTTCTCAGCCCAATGTTGATATTTTATGAGGTTTTTTTTTTATTTTTTTTTTACTATTTCTCGGGTTTCGCAATACTGGGATTAATTTCGTCTTTAGTTTCATCTTTTTTTACTTTGGAAATTTTCGCGCTATAAACGATTATTTCATTTTTCTTTAAATTATTCATTATTAATAATTCTTCGGCTTTATACGCTTCAGAATTACGCGCTGCATTTTTTTTTTGTTTAGTTCTTTACTATCACATATTAGGTATTTATTTTTTGGTTTCTTGATATTTATTATTCGACCATTCGTTATTATTTTCTTAATCTGATTATTATTATAAGGCTTTGACAGAGGTTGGTTGAATTACATCCTATTTTTTATTATAGCCGTACTTACTGCGCCACTTATTAATTGATTAGTAATATTTTTTTTTTCGATTTTTCGATTTAGGTAGAATCGATTCAATATCTTACCGTATCGTTATAAAATAATATACAATGTGAAATATACAAAATTACGCTAAGGGTTTTTAAAATGCAAGCAAATTTACCGATCATTCCGAATTGATATGATTTATGATTATTTATGTATTCACTTGAAATGATTCATATTTTTTCTTGATATTATTAGTAAGTAATTTCATCATCAACATAAACTATAAGAAAAAAGATTATTTAAAATCTTTTCTGCTTTTGTAGCTTTACTATATCTTTCTTCAAAATGGACATAGTTTTAGAAAGCTTGAAGAACAAAACAAAAAATTCGATGAAGAAAATAAAAAGCTCGACAAGCAAAATAAACATATGTTTTGATTTTAAATATTTTAGGCAAGGTTTTGGACATATAAAAATGAATTCATAACCTATTCCAAAACTGTTAACAGCAATCGTGTAGAAACTAAAGTTGTAAAAGTAATGATAAATATAGGTCATTTATTTGAAAGGGTCACTCGGTATAATATCAAAAAAAAAGTTGGAGAGCGATATACTGAAACCTTTGAAATGGTCAATTTATATGATGTCGTACGACTTTCCATTCCCTTTTAAGTGAGAAAAGTGAAGCTTGGGAATTTATTAATCTGGATTATGCTTTGTGAAATCGTGTTTGTTAATTATGTATTCATATTTATGTAAGTTATTAAATAAAGAAATATTGTATTTCGTATAAAGCTAATTTGCAGGTAATTTTTGCAGAATTCAAACTTCATTGATGTTTTTAAGGGTAATATTACAACTGCTGAAGGTATCCTTTAAATAATCTTATGTTTGTCGCAAAAGATAAATGTAATAATAAAGATTAAATTGGAGGTTGAAACCGGTCGGTAAATTAACCGTTAAAACGGTTAACATGTTAACTGGTTAAAATAGTTTATTATAACTCTGGCCGAACTTCAATTTTCGGCCAGAATTATTTTGTTAATTCTGGAAAATTTATAGTACTGGCCTAAGTGAATTTTATTAACTAGTTAACGAATATTTTTACCGGTTATTACCGGATAAAGATTTTTAGACCGGTCCATCCTCTAGATTTAAATGAAAGTAATTTTATTTTTAAATTGTATAATTGTTATTTTATTTAGCATTAGTAAATTTTCTAATTATCCAATGAGCAAGCCACACTTGGGAATAATACTTTGTACTGCAAGAATCATAAACGAATGAACTGCTATTAAAATGGAATGGTGTAAAATTTATAATTGAATGGATATTACCATGTTTTATAATATTATTGAATCTGTCCTTATTTATCTACCCTTAATAATTTAACATAACATGCTAGTTAGTGTTATTATTACAATAACAAATTTACTGGATCAAAGCTCAAAAATAGTTGTGCAAGGGTTATCGTTAGTAAATAATCCGATTGGAATTTATCAGTAAAATAACTCAAGTGATTAAATTGTGCGCTTGCAAGATTAATTGTACATAAAAAAAAATAGACACAATTAATATTTCAGGAATCAATTTTTAATTTTAAATGTCGGAAATTTCTGATGTATGAAGTTTGCCCGATATATTTATTTTATTTTATTTTATATATGGAATATGCCTTAAGTATAAATGAGACTTCTAAATACAGAAATATTCAACTCGACAAAAAAAAAGTTTATTTTCAACTTTCTTTAAAAATTTTTAAGAATTCGCTTGTTATACTACACTACTTTGTTCGTGCTTTTCTTAAAAAATAAACAAATACCACCGAAATCATCGTAGTGAGTAGATTTTCCACAAATAATGACAACAGTTCGATCTCATACTTCAATTTAAAGATCTATTCAAAGAAATTAAATTATATTTTTTCATCATAAGTCGAGTGAGGATAACACTTACCTTGTAACTAAAAACTCAATTGGTTTATTAAAGGTTTCATATTGTTTCAAATTTAGTAAGTCTTCATTATCCATCAATCAAAAGTTCGTACTGAAAATAGGTTGAAGCAAAATCTTTCAAAAAATCAAATTCCTGAGGATGAAAACGAGAATAAATTCTGGTGGGAATATAAATCAAAATGATGAAGTTCCTAAGAAAATAGTAATAACGTTATACATCCATAACTAGTTGTTTAAATAACGTCCAAAATTAATTACACCCTTGATATTCTATTTATGAGATTATATACTGTATAAATGACAACTGACTGTCAGAAATTTGAGGGGGATATTAATAAAATTCTCTCCCGCAGTAAAATATAATTTCGATATTTTATATTCTTTTACATGCTTTAAATAAGTTATTAATTTTATCAAATAAGGATTAATGATAGTATCATTAAAAAATATTTTTTGATAAATTTATTTAATATTATTTAATGTTATTTAATTTTTTTATAATTAATATATAATTTTTTATTATTATCTAAATAAGTACTTATTTGTAAAATGTTCGCTAATGAAAAGGATATACTTCAAGAGACTCGATATAAAAATATTATTAGCATATAATCCTTATAAAAATCAAAAATTTTATTACGGAAATGTAATGGACTTTTTAAAGATTTGAGTATTTCGTATTATTATTTATAAGTTTCGCCAATTTTATTCATTTATTTTTTATACTATTAGAAACAGTAATTTTTAAGTGAACGTGCTCAAAAAAATTTCGAATCAAATAATTTTCACACAATATACAAAGTTGTTGAAACGTTTGTAACTTTTAACAAACTATTTATATTTTATTTATATTTTATTTATAAATAATTATGATAATTGGGGTGCGCTGTAAACCAATTAAATCAAAACTATATCATATAAAATTTCCTTATTGAAGATTTTTCTGAAATTTTGATATATAATACTATAATAAATACTACTAGTATTCCAGCAAATTTTCAAAATATATGGTTACTTTGATTTATTTGTAAATAAACAAACATTTTATAGTTTATTGCATATATTTAATAAATTATTAAAAAATTTGAACCAACCTCTGCTCCAATTTTGATGGTTTAATATTTGCAATGGAATATTATTTTTTGTTCTTTTTTTTGAGTCCTCATTTTTTCAAGAACTTAAATTAGCTACTAATTTGAAAAAGAAAATTGACTGAAGTTATGATTCTTTAATAGATAATAACATGTTTGCATGTGTTTCAAATCTAATTTGTTAAAAAATCCTTTAACTTATTTTTGGTAAATAATAATAAAATAGATATGTATTTTAACGAAATTATAAAAAATAGGAAAATTCATATAATATAGGAATTATAATTCTTCAAATTACAAGAAATTTTATTAAATAATAAAAACTTGAATTCAAAGTATTTATATTTTTATAATTAATGTCATTTTTAAAACCTCTGCAATTTTAATTCTAACAGAAGTTTATTTGACATTAACTCTAAAGAATCGTTCAAAAAGAATAAAATTTTGAACTTTAATAGGTATCAATAATTTGTTATAAAAATGTTTCAGCTTACAACATAACTAAATTTCTAGTGAGAATTTGTTCTTCAAAGTTGAAAAGAAAATATTTTTAAGAAAATCATTGTATTATATCAAAAAAAAATTTATTTTTTTTTATTTTAATTAATATTTTAACGTTAATATTAATAAATAATAAAATATTATGTTTAAAATTAATTATAATATTTTATTTAAAATATAACTATTTTACTATTTGATTTATTTTAATGAGAGGATTTAAATTTTATCATTTTATATCTTTAAAATTTTATTATATAATATAATATAAAATATTAAATTATGTTGATGATTTTTTAAATCATATATTAATCATATTCATCATTTTCAAATTTTTTTTTAGATTTCTATGTAAAAAAATTCAATTGCTATTTATTCATTTTAATTGGTAAGTACAAGGAAAAGTGACGTAAGTACCTGTGGCCAAAAGTGTTCCTTCTATCTAAATTTGACAGTGGTTCTGAGGTCTAGAAGCCCTAAAGGTTTACTCTTGGGGGTGTCATCTAGATGGCAAACCTTAAATCAGTATTAAACAGACGGGTTCTGGTTAGCAATATCTAATCATAACCTCAAGGGTCTAAGATTAGTATTGGGCTACCTAGTAGTTCTAATATGTATATAATTGTTAAAGATTTTTAGTATTTCAGGTACTGCAACTATTTGAAAAAAAAAATATTTATTCATTTTTAATATTAAATTAAAGTACTTTAAAAATTTAACCGGTTTAAAGTTATTATAATATAGATTAATATAAAGCAAAAATTTCAATATTAGTAAAAAGATCTCAAAGCTCTATTTTCCTAGCAAATCTCTTATATATGTTATTTGCAAGAAGGCTAGAATAAGAAAAAAAAATGGCATGAAATTACTAGAAACACTACTTAATAATTCAAAATATAACCTTTAACCCCTTTTAAGAAAAGTTGTTGAATGTGAAGTCATTCGATTTTAATATTCTAAAAATTAGAAAATATAACAGAGTAAAAGGAATGAATGAATAAGATTAAAACAAAGTTAATATAATTCTATCATTTATATCCGTAAGTACAATAATTCTAGTATTTTGAAAATCAAGTGATATTAATCTTTAAGATCTCATAACACCAATGATCATTTCTTTTTTGAAATTATAGTTTTATTACTATAGAGGTCACGATTCAATAGTTACAATTGAATAACAAAATAGGAAAAGAAATTTTTTATTATAATTTTAACAATATAGATATTTTTGCTTCCAAATAAGACATGTAAGGCTCATCTTAAGAGAGATTTATGCTACAATTTCTTTATTATGATTCACTTGCATAGTTAAGTATTACAATTAAAATATTTAATGAAGGTTTGAAAGTTTAAATAAGAATTTTATTATTAACTATGGAGTTATAAATCTATTCACAATTTGAAAAACTTTAAAAACTCTATTGATAATCAATATAAACTATAAAACTATTTAAATAAAACTTCTAACTTAACTTTACTATATACTGTATATAAATATAATGTTAAAATAGGATCTACATATTTTTTTCTCAGCACGATAGTCATGTAATTCAGGATATATTTAAGTATTTATAAGCTGTTCTTTTCAAATTTTTAAAAAACATCAAACTAAAACAATTAATTAATTAATATACTATTCAAAAATATTTTTTAGTTAATTGAAGCTTTGTTTTATTCTATTATTAAGTTTTAGTCCAGAATTCCTTTTATAAGAATTGTAACTATGAAGTTAATTATTAATATAGAATTATCCACTAATTTTGATTTATATTTTGATTCTGATAGAAATAAATCTCATAGTTAACTTTAAAAGAATATATAAAGAGGTCAAATTACTCCTCCTACAGTAAAATAAAATTGCAAACATGTGTAATAAACTATAATCTTTAAAATTTAATTATTTGCATAAGGTTGAACATTATAATCTTTCTTTTAGATGGGAAGTGGTAACTCATTATTTCTCTTCTCATAAGAATTGGATATTTTTTATGAGAACATAAGTTGGTAAAGTGAGAAATGCATTAGTGGATCTTTACAAATAGAAACCTATCTATATATTTCTTTTAAATTTTTTTTTTTTTGAAAGTTTGTATTCAAAATAAAATTTATGTATATTGACTAATTGGAAAGTTTGAGGCAATTAATATTTAAGCTTAACACTATATAGCTGATGGGTTAATAATGTAAAAGTTTATTTTTGAAAGGATTTTTTTATTTTATAATGAAAATGTTTAATAAAATTATAATCAGATTCAATAGTGCCATATCATTTATTATTAATTCGATTAATTTTTGTGAAATTACACAGTAACTCAAATTTCTATGTAATAGAAATCAAAATAAAAAATTGATGCAAAGAATTGCACATGATGCTTTATTTTTATTATATTAAAATCAGCAATCGACATCATGACAAAGCTGACTAATAACAAAAGAGAAAGTATAACATTATTATTTTCATATTCCTTAAATAAAATAATTTATGAGATTACTTTAAAAGATTCAACTTTTTACGGTCTGAAATTTGTAATATTTACAACTTTGTCATTAACATCTTTATAGCAAAAATTTATATTATCACAATATGATTATAAAAAATTCTAGTAATTTTCATATTTCTAGTATCCTCATTGTTTTCTAATGAAAAAATAAAGCAATTATCATTAAAAAGGGATAACACACTGTTATATCTGTTTTATATCCTCCATAAATTTTTGATGAATAATCACTGGTTGGCAATTAATAAATTTTTGCTGAGCTGATTACATAAATCATGAAAATTTTTGGGATATAAGAATCTGTAATCATTAATATGATGGAGATGTTTGAACTTGTACTTCTTTTTATATAAATAATCATTTTACCATTTTAACCTATTACACCATCATGACTTTCGATCTAGTTAATAATTATAGGAATAAGTCTTGACTTGATAATCTTCAATTCCATTTGTGACTTTCCAAATCGTGGGGATAAAATAATCGATTTTTGAAAAGAACCTTTCATGTAGAATTCTAAAACTTTTTCATAAAGATATTTGGGAAAAATTGGCTTATACTGACGAACTTTTTCAAAGAAATCCACAGAATCAATACCCAAGTATCTAATGAATGGAATAAATTTATCTAAGGTCTTCTTCAATGCTTTATAATCTTTGTCATTCCAATTAGTTTCATCATCTTTTAGATCATTGATACACCATTTAATTAGATAATCCCAGAGAACTGTTTCTTCGATCTGCAGGTTAACTCATTTAAGCAAAGCATAAAGAACATCTTTATCCAATGATATAAATTCCATTGAAGTAATAAATGGTAAAGGATCTTTGCAGATAATTTCATTACAGTGGTCCTGAAGTTGTTTACAAATATCAATTTTAAAGGCTTTATGAATAATAAGAGCGATATTATGTTTAATCCAGTCTGACCGATGTTTAATTAAATAAACTTGAACATGATTAATTAATCTCTTCAAATGTAATTCGTCAGATGTGTCTAAAGACTAAGAATTTCTTTTCCTGTATGAATGGTTAAATTCAAATTATCAGTATAAATATAACTTATTATAAAAGAAAAAAGAGAAAGATAATTTAAATGAAATGAAATTGATTTTACAAAGCATAATCTCATATTGCATACTTATGGATTAGATCAAAAGTGGTAGTATTAATGTTTGGTTTCTTGAGTAACAAAAATAAATTATACTCTTCGACAGTAATTTGCAGTGCATTTTTGAAATAAGAGCAAGATCTTAGAACTGATGAATGAGCAGGAAATTCTTTAACATCTGGATTTTTTTCTGACTTGAATTATTATATTATGATTTCCAATATTCTTTAACGTTGATGAAAGTCTGGTAATGATCCTTGAAGTCATTCTCTTATCCTTTAAAAAAATGAAAGTTGAATTTATGTTGTTCTTTTGAATATTGCGAATCATTTTGCTGCTTTATAAAAAAGGAATCAAAGAACAAATTTCATAAAAAAAAAAATTTCAAAAAATTAATAATTTATGACAATCATTTACTAAATAAAGTACGACATTTCTATTTTTAAAATAATATATGCAATAGTTTCAGCGATTGATTCATAACCGTGATAATAAGTTGATTACGTTTCATTTAAATAGATCATGTATTACAAAAAATTAAATAAAAGTATCAAATTCTTATAATAATTAACAGTATTTATTCCGGTAAATTTGTACTATGCGTTTCTAATTCATTTCTAACATTTCTAGTCAACATGTTTTCCTATTGCTAGACAAGCATTCTCATAATTTCACTGTAGATTCACTTTTGTTGTTATGTAGAATTATGAATTCCTACTGTTTTTTGACTATAAATGTAGCGGATACTTGATTCTGAGTGCACAATACAAAATTTCCAATACACGTGCCGAATTCATCCTGATTCAAGATTTAATATCTCTTTTATATGATTGAAATATTGGTAACATGCATCACAGACAATGAAATCGCTTTCACTGTTACAAAAGGAAATCATTTAAAAAATGCACTTAATAAAGAAATGTGAAATCGACAAAATTTGGAATTTTGAGTTTTACCATGAACATTTTTTTCTTTTTTTGCATGATTTGATTTTTATATATAAAATAGATAACTTGCTAACAAATTCATTTTGTGAAGACATGAAGAAATTTGAAAGTGAGTATCGAAGTTGAGTAATTTAAATATAAAATTAGAACTATATAAACTATATTTTATTATAATATTCTTTTAAAATACTTATTTAGTAACACTGTATATAGAATAAATTTTATAAAAAATACAGTTTGTAATTACTCAAATAAATTTTATATATAAATTAAATTATAATAATTAAATTAATTAAATATAAATTATTAATCAATTTAATTTAATTATTAAATTAATTATTTATTTAATAATCAATTTAATAAGCATTAAGTATTTTCAAATAGGTGTCAGAATAAGCATAATTGGTATAAAAGTAATGTCTAAAAAATTCATAACAACATTCAAATGAAGCAATTGTTCAGATAAAAAAAAATATTTATTACTCATACTTTATGTTGTAACCGCGACTATGTTAGTTCTTCAATAGGTAAAAATACAAATAATAATTTCATCTTCTAAGACAGAACTTTCAAAACTGCTCCAAGTCTTGCGTTTATTTCATTAAAACATGTCGCGATAAGTGCACGAAAAGACCATTCCTTCTTTTCATACTTCTAATAAGTGTACTTATAATAAGTACAGTCAACCCTCTCTAAATGCACACACTTGAAAAGCCATGTTGAGTTTATAGAAAATTTTTGTTGTAAAAAAAAGGGTAGAACTTTTAAGAAATTGTCAGACCAACTGGGATTAATGAATAAAAAAAAAAAAAAATTGAGATTTGGTAGAACAGTACTCGAACACAAGACATGCATGACAAACGTTGTTACCACTCCACCAATTCATCTTTGTTGTTAAATTACATAAAAATTTAAATAATTTAAACTAGATTGCTTGAAACATGTGATTAATGACTATGTAACAGGAACCGTTGGAGCGTCCGAGACTGTGAATATTTTTTTTTCTCATGTCCTTATTATAAAGATTTTTTTTAGATTTATCTCGTGTAATACAAATTTTTTAAGAATTTTCATTAAAATACATAAATTGACTTTACGCAGAAAAAAGTACTTCAAAAGCTTTTTTTTGAAAATTTTCAAAAAAACATGTCTAAACAAGGAAACAAAAAATATTACTACATAGAAAGTGCCAAGTGGGTTACTCACTTTCGCCAACAACGATGACAACACCAACTAGACTTTAACCGGTTCCAATCTCTAACTCTAATAACACCAACAACCAGCAGCCTCCGCCTAATGATCCTTTGCCGACTCCACGTGAGTTAGCATATAGAGGTGCCAAAAGAAAAATCGGCGAGATACAATACCAAGAAGGTTTTTGTAGGACATCCATAGCCCTTGATCAAGCAGAATAAGTATGAAACATAAGGATATTTCAAAAATTTGTTATTACTATGATATCTCTTATTCTTACAATTTTTTTTAGGAGAATAAATAAAAAGAATATAAAGAAGAAGGAACCAAAATTAATAAAGGGCATCTGTACTGCCATTAGTTGCCAGTAAAATCATATCTTTCGTAATGTGATTTTACTGGCAACGCTCCCATTTGTTAATGATTTTAGATTTCAAATTTATAAAAGATATTATTTCATGCTTAACAACTTTTATTGATATTATTACAAATAGGGATGTTAATTGGTTCCAAATGATATTGAAATTTCTAGTTAGACCTATAATTTTGCATAGCGTTCACCGCATTTTCATCATTTTTTGCGACTTCATATTGTTTTTACCATTTAAAGAATCCTCTTTTTTAACAAAATGAATACGGCATTGGGAAGATTTTCGAAGGATTCTAATTATCATATTTAGAAAACGCAATAACTGAATTGGCAGTTTTTGTAGAAATTTTGTGGAGGGTGTTTTTAAATCTAAATCAATATTTGCAAGAACAAAAAGGAATTCTTACAAATTTATCAAGAGTAGCACCAATCTCAATAATTAAAGAATTTTGGGTGATATATGCAGTTCGCTTTCAGAAAATGTTAAATTTCTTATATTTATAATAATCAATAAAATTGAAATATTTATATTTTTACTATATAAAATTTTTTTTTGCATATTTTGCATTTATGACAATTTAAAATGCATATTTTTTATTTTGCATTGCACGAACCCTTGGTTCTAAGAATGCACTTACTAAATTTATAAACATCTTAATCTTGTAAAATAATAGTAAATAAATATGCTTTGATTTGTCTCTCTTCGAATCCTAATCGCAAATGTATATTTCATCCAAAGTCACAAAAAAAAATATTTAAACATTTTAATTTAACGAGAGTAATGAGATATGGCTTATTTTTTTTTATTATAACTTTTTTAATATTTTTAAAATTAAATGGGTTAATAAATAAAGTATTATAATTAGAAATAAAAAAATAAATAACAAGCTTTTTTAAATCTTCTATTAAATTGTTTTTTAATATTCTTATCACGAGATGTTGTAAATGACATATGGTCGTGACGTGATTTTAATAGCAAAAAAAAATAATTATAAAGGGAATGCCGTGCCTCTCTGTCACTGTACCTTAGGCTTAGCTCCAACTTTTTCCCGCAAACTTTTTGATAGCGCTGACACAGCGGTCGATGTCTGAATAAGTAATTAGTCTTCAATTATTTGATGTTTTGCAAAGGCCCTCTTTGAATGCTTCTGGAGATATTATATCCGAGCTAAAATATAAAAGAACCGATATTGGCGAAACTCTTAAACCATTGGTGATTACTTGTAGCTCTTGCATCAGAATTTCCTTTACCGCCAAAAGAAATAAGATTATGAGAATTAATCTGTGAAACTTCGTTGAATTCTCAGTAAATGCTCGCGAGTAAATATAAACATTTACAACACTCTCTACTGTGAAAAAATTCCTCTTTTTAAAACACCAAAATCTACTTCAGGAGAATCATACTGCACTATATCCCAAGTTGATAACAGTCAATCACAACGGGCGCATTATTATTGAATTATTAATATAAAATAGTGATAAAAATTCGTAAAAAAATTACTTGACAAGGTTGCGCCTAAATTTTTAGAATTTGAACATAGGATTTGCTCGCCACATTTACCCTTGTTGTTTGAACATATCCTCGATCTCAAAAATTGGTTCGAAGAACTTCGTGTTGAAATCTCATCTTAATTGTAAAAGCACATTTTGATTAATCATCAAATCTGACATTGGCAATATCAATTGTTTCTCCTGATTTTTAGTTTTAAAATGTCAATTTGACAATAATACTACATCTTACATTTGGAAGGTTTCTTCATCTTAATCAAGCTTCTTTATGCCTTCATTTGATCATTCTTCAGAGCAGGACTTTTAAAATCCGGTTTTCCTATCATTACTGATTCTATTTCCACAGCTTTTAGTTATCAGCTTCAATATTGGAAACAATCTCATTATTACTTTTAAAAACCACTTTTTAAAAGAATTATTATTATAACTGCTGTTGATATCAATATCAAAAGAGATGGTATTTGAGTGTTGAACGTTCAACAATATTTCTGTAAAGGTAACCTATAATTAATAAATAAATATATATGATCAATCAAATAATTTGTGGCTTATATGCAAAATGATATACAATGTTCAAGTTCGGATAAGTAATAGTTTTTCACACCGCTGACATGTTTTCGAAACATCTATAAATCGTCATTAAGCACATGGGAATATATGTCGGAAAAAAAACAATTATTCGATCTTCTGGAGAAGAATAAGTGGCTATAAGGGAATTAGAGTCGGCAGACTTGTGCTGTTTTCATTTGCTGTTTTTGATCTAAGAGAACCAATGATAAAATTCGTTAGCAAATGATTCCATATGAGAAGCATTATTGCGAATATACACGAAATGCAGGGACAATTGAAATTTCAATTCAACAACATGTATATATAATGGTTAGGAAAGAATAAAAAATGGATATGCTCATCACCTTGACAAAGATCCAAATTATGCAGCTACTGGACAATTACATTTTCCAAAATTTTTTATTTTTTGACGACCTTTCTTAATATAATTTAAAAACTCCTCTGTTTCAAAGTATCGGAAAAATGATAACAAATGAGTATCTAGAAATCTTCATGTATTAGCAAATATTTGTTGAGTAAAACAATTGATCGAATGTCACTACATTAAGGTTGCGGAGAATAACCTTAATCCAATTTTGGCAAACGTCGAAAACTGTCGGTTACGATGGGATTCGAGTTTTGACGATACGTTTCAACGGTTTCGACATGTTTTCACTTTTGATGCTAGTCGAAAACCTCTGGGCTGCCGGAAAACTTACACCAAAATGTGTAAGTATATTGTAATCCGACTTCCAACAAAAAATAATATCTTGGTCAAATTACTAATTTGATCTGCTGCTGCATACTCCGATCTTATGGTTTCAGTTAACATTTTTAAACAATTTTGATCTATTTTTGAGGTTCTTGTTTCATTTGGAAAGAATAATAAATAACGAATCCACCTGTCCATAAAGATAACAATTGACTGATCCATTTCGTAAAGAACCATTTCTATTATTCTATTGATTAATTGTATCATTTCCATGAGAAACTTGGTTTTCTACTATATGACTTGTATTAAGGTTTGATCACCAAAGTTTTTACAGCGATACATAACACAGGACATAAATCCAATATTAATTTTTTTGGGCTTTTATATTATCAGGAATAGCAAAGTCCAACAGATTCCTCAGCATGCAGTTGTCTTTGCTTCAGTTCTGTGGACCACATTTCTACTAAGGCATTAGTTAGATCACTGAATGAATTTTTAACTCGAATTGCATTATTATTATTTCAGCAATCAGAAAACCTCTTTTTAGGCATCAGGTACAATTTTTGAATTAGTTACCTCCATTAGATGATTGGACTTGGTCATCTATATGATAGCTCCATGCAATGTTGCATATGATATCCCTGTACTTCTCATTAAGATATTGCTGTAAGAAGTAAAAAATGAATGCATTTACATAATTCCAATTTGGTCTAACAATAGCTCCGGTTGAATCGTGAACAACATCTGTAAAGATTGAATCGACTTAGTTAGATCCATTCCATCCGATCCGTCAATAATAAATCCCTTCGATGCTGAGAATAGATCCCTGTAATATCCATAGTTATGAACTGTAATAATGGAGGAATGATCTGATCTATTGACTATCATTTTAACGAGTTCACTTGATAAAATTCATTGCAAGATAACTTGTTGGTAGTGAATTTGATAAATTCCTTGCCGAAAATCTAAATATGGCTTATCTTTGATCGAACGACGTTCCATTTTTGTTGTGATTACCCAAGGTAATCAAATTTATATTCTTGAACTATAACTAACTGCAGGGTTTTCAGAAGAAAGTCAAGCTTTTTCAAAAGAGGAATTCTTCTCGTAAGGTTTAGTTCTCCAAAAGATATTTGTCGTGCATTCGAATTTAATTCAAAATATTCAATTCACTAGGAAATGTTAAGGAAAATTTTTGAAGTGCCACTTGTCGTTGTAGGAGTAAGGTAAAGTAAATCTTAACAAATAATTTTACAGAATTTAAGTTAATTTGCTAAATTTTCTATTTCTGCCTCTGCAATACTCATAACGAATCGAAATGGAAATTTATTCAAACTGAAATATGAGAGATGAATTTTGTCAGCGATTTTTTTTTAATAGATTTAAAATAATAAATTTATTTTAATGAACTTACAATGAGAACATTCCATTTTATCTACACAAAAACGAAAACCTGTCAAAATAAAAATGAATATGTAAAAAAAAAGGATTATAACAAAGAATAATTTTATTAATTGAATTTCATTTACTTTGTGAGAAACTTTTATGGCGTCGCGTATTTATATTTTGTCGATGTTTCATGTAATGATAACTCCGGATCTGATTTTTGACTCATCATTTTACTCAAGGACCAATAAGAATACGTCTGATACTGTACGTCATAAAAGTTTAAAAGTCAGATTTTCTCCCCAAAATGTTTGTCATGTATCACTCAAGTAGTCATTTATCAGGCATAAAATATTTAATTATTTAATAACGACTTCAATAATAGATGATTCAAACCCTTAATACCAAATTGTGAATGTAATGCTATTTTAATTATTTTCTTAAAGTGTTATTAATTAATTAAAAAAAAAATTTAAAAGAATTCATTTTTACAAATAAAAGAATATATATATATCCTATAATTTTATTAAATTATGGAAAATTTGCCCGGCATTTATCAAGCAACGGAAATCATTGAAGTACCGTACGTCAGTGTGGAATAGTCTCGGGTTCTATTGCTTTGATAATTGATTAACTAATCCAGATAATCCTGGATCTTCTTAGAAAGAGGAACATCCCATGTCTGGTCCTTTTTCGCTTCGAGTTTGGTGTTCCAACCTTCAACTTCTTTAGTGAATGCTTCGTAAGTAATGGTGTGAGGGAAATAATCTCTGTCATTGTAATCAAGCAATGTAATGTGTCAGGTTAGCTTTAACCGGTGGTCATGGTCATCGAATTAACTTATAACCATGATCAAGTGAAGCCATTGAACATACTCATTTTGACGCTCTGATGGCAACAACATTAAGAGCTCAATGTAACTAATTATATGCTCTCATCATGGTCCATCTAGTATAAGAAAGTTCATGCACATCTTGATAGACGTTATTTACAAGTGCAACTTTTAAGGAAAGAAGATGTTAGAAAGGAATTCGTTAAAGGAAAAAAAAAAAGTTGTATTTTGAACGTCATACTTAGAATATACATGATTACGATGTTTGCAAAGAATGAATAGACGATCTTTATTATATCCACAAAATGGTTATTTTACCAAGGTTCAAAAAAATCTTAAGAAGCTAAAAGCCCGGACCAAAAATTTTTAAGTGATTGATCAAATCCCTTAAATGTACTTTCACCACCATTAGTTGGCGGGATAAATGAGAAATTCACCATTGCTGCATGTGCGCAAGCGAATAAAATCAAAGCTAAAAAGAAAAGCAGCATCAAAATCCTCCTGCAAATCTGCTGATATTAATTAGTTTTTAGGTCCTTCCGTTTGGTAATAGCCAATATTAATTTATAAATTGATAATTTATTATTTTCTTTTTCTTTGAATAAATATTTCATACCAAAAATAATATTCCCTTTTAGATTAGTAAAATTGTTATATTATTGTAATTACGAACAGCAAATTGTAATTTCGGTAAAGTCATGTCAAATTAGATGATCACATACTGTATGTATAATTTGTTTTATTCATATTTACTTGTAATCTGTAAGAATATCCATGACTTTAAGTAATTTGCATTTTGTGCAAAAAACTATATATGGATCAGGTCGTATATTGTTAGTCATGTTTTTTAATGACATACTTAAAAAACTTCTGTTGATGGAAATGAAAATTCGAACGGTCAAGCACATCTGGAATTATTGCTAAAATTCCGGCGGATAAACTGCTTTGAAAAAATTTTCAACCATATCGATTGTTGCATTGTTGCCGTCAAGCAATTTATTTATTAATACAGTAATTTCAAAACCTCATGATAAATTTAAATAAAGCTCATTAATCTTCAAGAGATGTAGTTCAGTCAATTAAAAACTTGGTAACCGTTCAACTTGTTGAAAATAATACTTATACTAAATCTGTCACCAATTACGAAGTAATATAATATATTTGTTGCAGTATTGGTTGGAATAACAGTATATTACATATATGATTTATAAGTTTTGAAAAAAAAAAAAAAAAAATTTTCTATTTTTTTTATTTTTTTTTTTAAAAAAAAAATTGTGTATAATTAAGTATAACTCACCTTTGGAATAAATTGTCCACAAAAGAAGGTGTGCAATATCAAAGAGACCTAATGAATAATGTGAGAATGTAGATAATGTAAAAGAAATTATATCATAATGGCCGCAGGGCAACGGTCACATTATCAAATGAAAAATGTTAATCAAAAAATCGGAAATCATATAAACAAACTTAGTAACGAACACTAATTAGATAAATTAAAATTAGTTTTTTCTTGCAAATCGACGACGAATTCGAAAAAATTATTAGTTTTACGTGATGAATCATCATCTCCTGAATGTTTTGAATATATCATAATTCTTTTGAACGATATATATCGTTATTATTAACGATATAGATTCACAATATCTTAAGATTTATGAAATTTTACAAGTTGATCACTTGGCGAAGAGGGTGGGCTGAGGCGTACTGAACTTAGTTTTTTTTATTTGTTATAATTTTTTTTTATCTAAACAGACGGATATTTTGGTAACCACGTCAATACAAAGACGATGCAACGATGCCTTCACTCTCTTCAAAAACTTCCACATCAACGGAAGAAGAATGCATTCCGTTAATGTCAGACTTTAGAGTTATTAGATCTAAATGAAAAATTCGAAATATTACATAAAGAAGAAATTACCAATTACTTTGTATGTTAATCAAAAATGATAATACTTCCTGAAGTGATCCAAAAGTCTAAGAAAATCAATAATCAAAAATCAAAAAAGGCGAAATATATTCGATTGTTAAAGTAAAAAACGATTGAAATTTTAAATAATAAATAGAAACAAATTAAAAATTAAACGAAAATGCATTACTGCGCTTAATTCCAGCCAAAAATATAAAGCTAAAGAATAAAAAATATAATTGACGCATACTCAGCGACCAAAAAAAAAAAAAAAATGACTAAATAAATATAATCAAAAAATAACTTACATATGCATGCATCTAACCAAAAGAATCGCCGGAAAAAAGATTAAATAAAAATAATCAAATAAATAACCTTTTAATGGATATAAACCTAAAGAAAGAAGTGATTCGATCGATACGACTTATCTGATCGAATATTTAACTAGAAAAATAGATCAAAAAAATAATCCGATTCATATGATACCTGCACTGCGTAAAATATTTATTTTAAGAGCATTCCAAAGAAAAATAAAGGGCGCAAGATGGTTTGAAATTATTGTTCAATAGATAGCTGAAGCGAATATGAAATGAATAATAGTATTAATAATAATAAAATCTAAATAGAACCTCTAAAATAATAATTTGATGAAAAAAATAAATCAAAAAAACTTTTCTATGCAGCATCGTTTTTGTGTATAGAATGAAGAATAAAAATTGGTCATTAGTATCCAGAAAATGTTATCGAAAATGTCCGAGTGCATGTGGAAAATGCCCAAAATCATCCGGAAAGTGTACCAAAACATGGATTTCGGACACCGCGTGATGTCTTTGATATTGCCCGGAATTTATACCGAAACATGGTTGGATTCCGATCTGGACACTACGGCAAATTCTGGACAAATTCCAGAATTTTTTTTCATAGGGTATAAAATTACCTTTTTCGGTATGGTTCTTCTCATAACTTTGCTATTGAATCCAAACAAATCACCTCCTATGAAAAAAATTGTCTTTTCTTGGGGCAAAATATTTTCTATTATTTTTTTTTTGTCTGAAAGCAAAAAATTAAAGAGTAATATATATTGTTTGAAAGGCAGAAAGATTATAGACAATAGTTAAAAATTCAAGATTTCACTTTAGTTATGAAAGAAGTTCCTAACCGAGATCCTCTTTCAGTAACGGTATACCTTCGTGTTAGAAAAATTTTCGTAAGATCAATACACTACACTTCCACGAAAAAGTGATATTTCATTACTTACCTGCCTGTTTGCTACCAAATAGAGAGAGTTAAGTGTTTTGTAAAACTAAGCTGTGTCTTGTCCTTTATTATAAATACAGTCAACGACCAAAATTATGCGGACATTTTAAAATCAAAAAAAAATTATATACACATAATAAAATAAAATAATATTTAATA